CCTTCTTTCTGAAGAAGGGTCTAGGCCCGAAACGTCAGCCTTCCTGCTCCTCTGATGCTGCTTGGCCTGCTGTGTTCATCCAGCTCTACACCTGTTATCTCTGTTCATATTTGTCACATAGGTTGAAATATGTCTAAATGTGGTGGATTCTCATTTAATCACATGAGCAGGAATTCTCAACTTTGGCCTCCTTTCCCTCCTCTGCAAAACCTATGCACTAGCTTTTAATAATTTGTCTATATGGACGCTTCACTTTATTTCCTTCTCCACAGGTTCTAAGCTCTCACTATCAAGATTCCATTTTGCTATTCTTGGATCCAAAGTGGAAGTCCTCACACTCTCCCACATTGAATTCCATTTCCTTTAGCATTTCTGACAGTGGTAATATAAGAAAATGAAGTCATTGAAATAAATCCATGGGTAGCACCACTTGTTACAATATGCTAATCAGAATTTATTCTCTTTAGCCCTCATACTTCTCAGTTGATTACTGACCCATGTAATAAAGGTAGCTCCAGATCTTGGCACATTTGTTTATTTTTAACCAATAATCTTTCCTGCACAGAGATCAAGTGATTTCTGGAAGATTGTCTAGACAGTATCCATAAACACTGCCCTATTCAACATGCCTCAAAAATGTGACTGAATTAGTCAAACATGACTGACCTTTCACAAATCCATGCTGACTTGCTTTAATCGGCTAATGCTTTACTGAGCATTCAGTCAGTCTGTCCCTGATGGACTCCACTGCCTTGCCCATAATTGATATATCCATAGTTCTCCTACCTCCCTTCCTTGCATAATGAAGTGACATGTTCATTTTTTTAACCTAAGGATTTAATTCCTGAATTCAGAGGGGTTTGGAAAATCATGACCAATGTGTCATAAATTTCCTCATTTTTTTCAATACCCTTGGATGACGTTAATCAGGTCATAGAGACTTTCTTTTCATAAATTCCACTATTTTCTCCATTTAATACCATTTTAATCTGATTAAATACACTAAGTTCTTCCTTTAGTTAACACCATTACTTACATTTCATTGCAAATTCACTAGATTTTGTGCCACTCGCCTGTTTCAATAGCCAAAACAGTGAATAATTATCATATTTGTATTCCTACTAATAACAATGGCAATTACAAATTTTCAAACTGAATGCTGCTTTAATTTTCATTGTTACTTAGACCATTGAAAAGCTACTTTGATGGACTTTCTATTTTTTAATTACTGTGAAATGATTCACTCAAACGTATATATCTAGGTCTTTTGACTTTCCACATTGTTCAAACCGTGTGCATTTGCTTCATAATCAATATGTACTAGGTGAAGGATGAACCCTACCTTGGGGAATCTGAAGAAGACATGATTCCTGATGACAAGTAAAGGGTACAATATGCCATTATTCATTCTTTTCACCTTGTGTGAGAAAGTATTGTATTCTTCCTCTATTCTTAATAATAATAATAACACCAGCCAGCAAGGAGAATTAGTCTCAAGTCAAGCCAGCTACACGTGCCTGTGACATCAAGGATGAATGAAAGGTTACCTGAGACTAACGCATCCAATGTTAAACAGCATGAGTCATTGAACGCAGTAACCACACAAGCTCCATAAGTCACATTACTTCTGGTTGCATTCAAAGCAGATTCATTATTGGTGGTAGATATGTGGACAGGAGGACAATGACTTGGTTGTTATATGTTTCATTTATGCCCCACAAGATATATCCAGATTCCTAATGACCAATTTGCTGATTGAGCAAAGATATTGGAGGAATGTTTCCATTTGAATTTAGTGTCATGGTGATGGCATAATATCTTCAATGGTCTGGGATTTTTAAAATTTACTTACAAGTAGGATGCGGGCATTGCTTGGCTGGACAGCATTTACTGTCCATTCCTAGTTGCCCTTGAGATGGTGGTGGTGAGCTATCTTCTTGAACTGCTGCAGTCCATGCGCTGTACGTTGATGCACAATACCCTTAGGGAGAGAGCAGTGATATATTTCCAAATTAGGATGGTGAGTGAATTGGAGGGCATTTGAAGGTGATGATATTTCCATTTATTTGCTCCCCTTGTCCTTCCAGATGGAAGTGGTTGTGGGTTTTGAAGGCGCTGTCTAAAGATTTTTGGTGAATTTCTGCAATGCATCTTGTAGATTCTACCTACTATTGCTACTGTGCATTGGTATTGAAGGGAGTGGATATTTGTGGATGCAGTGCCAATCAAGTGGGCTGCTTTGTACTGGAATGTGTCAAGTTTCTTGAACTTTATTGGAGCTGCACCCATCCAGGCAAGAGAGAGTATTCCATCACACTCTGACTTGTGCCTTGTAAATGGTGGACAGGCTTTGGTAAATCAGGAAGTGAGTTACTCACTGCAGTATTCCAAGTTTCTGACCTGCTCTTGTAGCCACTTTGTGTTATTGTATCATGTGGTGAGTACAGTAGAGTTTCTGTCAATGGTAATCCCCAAATATTGATAGTGGGAGATTCAGTGATGGTAATACCATTGAATGTCAAGGGATAGTGGTAAGATTGTCTGTTATTGGAAATCATCATTGCCTGGCATTTGTGTGGCTTGAGCATTACTTGTCCCTTGTCAGCCCAAGTCTGGGTATTGTCCAGATCTTGCTGCACTTGAACATGGACTGCTTCAGTATCTGAAGAACATTGTATAATTATTTGCAAACATCCCCTCTTCTGACCTTATGATGGAGGGAAGTTCATTGATGAAGCAGCTGAAGATAGTTGGGCCTAGGACACTACCCTGTGGGACTCCTGCAGAGATGTCCTGGAGCTAAGATGACTGACCTTCAAAAACCACAACCATCTTCCTATGTGCCAGGTATGCCTCCAACCATGTAGAGTTTGCTCCTTCTTCCCATTATTCCAGTTTTGCTCGGGCCTCTTGTTGTCACTGTCAGTCAAATGTGGCTTTGATGTCTAAGGCAGTCACTCTCATCTCACCTTTTTAATTCAGCTCTTTTTTCCATGTTTAAACCAAGGCTGGAATGAGGTCAGAAGCTGAGTGACCCTGGTGGAACCCAAACTGGGTGTCACTGACAACAAAAACAGAAGATGCTGGAAATGCTCAGCAGGTCTGGCAGTATCTGTGAAGAAAGCAATCAGAGTTAATATATCGGGTCTGGTGACCCTTTCTCAGCTCTTTCTGTTTTTATTTACTGGGTGTCACTGAGCAGGTTATTGCTGCTTGATAGCTCTACTGATGACACCTTTCATCACTTTACTGATGATTGAGAGTAGACTGATTGTGTGGTAATTGGCTGGGTTTATTTTGACCTGCTCTTTTGTATACAGAATATACCTGGGCAAACAGGATGAATAGATGGGCTCTGGTGAACATAGCATCAGTGATCTGCTAGATGCACTTATGAGTTGGGGACTGTGAAATCGCACAGAATTCCCCGGCAGCTCTCTGAAATGATCTGCTTACAAAAATATTGAAGGGTAGCCATGTACTTGTGGGCTACCTAGATGGAATTGCCACTCTCTCCTTGTGAACACAAGTTCTTGACCAGCAGCTGGCATAGATGTAAGATGGTGGCTCGGGTCATCCTTCTTCATCTTTGGGGGGAGGGTGGCACTACAATATTGTGCTTGATGATCAGCCATGGTCATAATGAATGATGGAGCAGGCTTGGGGGTTGAATATCCTGCTCCTGCTCCCATCTTCTGTGTCACTGTGTCCCTGCACTGAGCCTCAGTCATTTGCAGACAGCTGCGCTGAAGTCTGTAGTCACAGTTCTCTGCCTGAATCTTCCTAAGTCGTGGGGATCTTGTGCTGCTGTTTCTCTGTCTGGAGGTTGTGCAGTAGCCAGGGGCAGCCGCTGTTCAAATTGGGTGGGCAGAAATGATTTCCACTGCTGCCTTCTGTGCCTGTTTATTTACAGCAGCAGCACTGCAGAATACCAGCAGATTTACCTTGGCCATTCTTTCCCAAGTTGAAACAAACTGTGACAAAGTAAGGGAAATAACACTTGTTATTAAATGCAGTCCTGAATGCTGACATCTTTCCCAACAAAACTGATTGTTATGGCTACACAAAAAATAGTGTGCAGTCCGCACATGGAACCAAATGTAATGCACTTAAAGTGATGTAGCTAATCTCATGTAAGGTTGTCGATAAAAATCCATGATCCCCTGGAATTAGGAACCTGTCATGCGACCCATCCCCACCCCTTCCCATCCAGCAAACTTCCTGTCTTTGGGATTATGTACCTGGGCCCATTGGGAAGATGATGTTGTCATTAAGAGTTCCTTGTTCTCTTGAGTCTTATTGATCTCTGAGATGACAAAGTGGTGATCAGTGGGCACAATGTACTCCCAATGACTACTCCTCATACACATACCAAAATTGGACGTTCTGTGTTGACTTCCACATTAACTGTCAATTGGAGGCAAATGAATAGCATTGTTTCATTACTACAGTCATGATGACCACAGTAGGCCTGTAGAGTCTCACATTCCGATGTTACGTTCTGCCTGCTTGGAAACGTAAAGTACAGTAAGTTATTCCTCCCACTTGGGATGTGCTATTTCTCACATTAAGTCCTTCTGACACAGTTGATTTTCAGATCAGTACATTGAGATTCAAACTTTGGAGTTCATATTAGTGACTTGCAAGCTTTTTTGGTGACCCACAAATTACCCACTTTCTTCAATTGCTTATTCTTTTGTGATCCATGTACCCCTCATAGCCTTTCATTGTTCCCTCATTTTGATTCAGCCCCTTTACATAGCCATTACTATATCTACTTTATCCTGGTGCCCATGGTTTTCAAAAGGCCTATGCACCCTCCCCATATTTGGGCAAGAGTGACCATGACTTGCCTTAATTCCTGCTAATGAAGATGCGGTATCTTGATGCACATGGACTTGTCGTTCCATTGCCCTGACTCTTACATGTATGCTTCACTGTTTCCTACTGCCCCAAGCTGCCTACTTTTCCCTCTGTGCTAAAGTTACCTGTCAGCCAGAGGCTGCTGGCTGTCCCTCTGTGCTAAAGCAAACCAGAGGTGGCTGCTTAACTCTACATGTAAGCAAACATCTTGATGTTCTGTGGCTAAGCGTTGCTGTTGCCTCATTGTGTGGATGGATGGTCCACACTATCAATGAAGGCACCTGTTGCTATTGAAATAATTCTGTCTAAAGTGAAAAGAAAGATAGTTTTCACAGCCATGAACTCATATAATCTTGACACGTTGCCCACTTGGTTTTGACTATCTAGGTTTTGAACCATTGAGTTTCTCTGTTAGTGAGAATTTGGGAAGGGAAAGCAATATGGTGAGTTGTGCAATTAATCAAATGCAAGCAGATCACTCACCATCTAAGGAGGGAGGATTTAATTATGACAATTTAACTCAACAATGAGAGTCTGAAAGAGCTTGCCACCTTCGAGATGTCTGTGCATTTGCTTGTATTAAGGTAATATGCAATATTAATGAAGGGCAACGATTGAATGAAATTATCTCAAAATTCCACGATGGCAAAATGGGAATCTAATTAAATTCCAAACATGGTTTTATGAATTTTAGAAACTTTTCCTTTTGATATGAGTAGTTGGACGTCCCAGCAAGTAGGCTTGGACACCTGGGGGAAACCAATCGACTCAATATAAGCATTTGAAATTTCAAGGTGATCAATGGAACAAGCAAAAATTTTACAATTCTAGAGAATACAGCAAGCAAGATTAACTAGAGCAGAACTTGCATAATTTCAACAGTACAAAAGATTTTGGTGTTTGGAAGCTATGTGCATATTATGCTTTTGCATAGAAAAAGGAACATATGTTATCAGATGACCGTTGTGGAAATTGAATGGAAGATTTCAGAAAATTCTTGGTAGAATACCTAGAACCGTTTATATTGGTCACCAGGTTATTTGACTAGTGAAGTGGACAGCAGAAAAGAAAACAAAGCTTCTGAAATAGCTTCTTAATCTGGCAAAATTCAAACAGAGCTTCCGAAAAACATTTTTGGCAACAGGTCAGATACTTGGCTGTGAATTCCCATTTTGTATGGGTGGCTATATGAACCACTGATATCCATCTATAAATCAGAAAGTTTTGTGAAGGTTAAATTTCAGGAAGCGTGTTCTCCAATTACAAAGTCAACGCACTGAAGGCTTGAATTAGTGAATGTAGTCACATGGCCTATTAATATATTGCTATCCATGGACTTAACAACTAACACATTATTGGGAGAAGGAAGACATAACACTGCAAAATTGCATATGGCACTCAATGGGTGAAAGTTTTTTGATTAATTAACATAAAATGATTAGGCGTTATATTGAAGGTGGCTAATGCTGCTGCTATTTTAAGTAAGATGAGGTCCTAACATTTGTTCTGAAGATTACTTTGGAAGTGCTAAAAAAGAGGTTTACTTTTCTTGTGTTATTTTTCATATTAGGCAAGGGAGGTGCCACTTCCAGCAAAATTGTCAAAGGTTGTGAAAAATGGTTGTTTATTATTTTAAAAGCAACTTGTTATTTTAAATAAAGGTAGAGATCAGTAGAGATGGAAGGAAGTTTTAGTCTTAAAAATGGTATGCTTCGGTTGGATAGTGGGAGTTGGGGGGTGAAAACCTGAAGACAATGTTTCCCGATTGACCAACCTACCGATTTTTGATTTTAACTGAGGACAGAAGGTGCCTGGATTGGAATTTTAAATAAAGTAATGAGACAATACAACTGCACAAGCTTTTTGACTTTTACTGCTGAGGGCCAGGTTACCTGAATACACAGCAGTTTTATAGTGGTGAAATTGACTCAAGGAGGTGCCTGCTGTCTGCTTGAGGAGCCTCCATAATTGGGTAACTCTCACCGTGGCCTCCACATAGTTTAAACAGCATAGTGTGTGGGAGAATCCAGAATTGTGCATTCCTGAAAATGTTCTGACAGATCTGCTATCTGTGCACAATTTGAGTAAAAATCCCATAATTTTGTGTGCCAAGGCTTTTGGAAATAATATCGTATTTTTAAAGGTATATGTTTTAAAAGCTTTCCATAACTAGTCAACTTTATAATCCCTCATGTCCTTCTTAAAATTTTAGCCCACATTCAGGTAATGTGCTCACTTTTCAAACAGGTGCTAATTTGAAAAGTGTGCATTGCAGTGCAGGAAATTGCAATCTGGGCCAATGTTACTGTCATTCACAAAGCTATATTAATTTACCCTGCTAAGTTTATTTACTTTGCTAATTGGAAAACATGAACTGTGTAATGGCTATTATCATTGATACAATAAATGAACAATATTAAAAATACAAATAAATATTTTGTACAATGCTAATGATTGCTCTTAAAATGAAAGTTTTCCCATCAACATTACTCTATTGCATTGGAGGCAGTTCAAAGACATTTCACTGGCCTGATTCCAGGGATAAAGGGATTGTCTGATAAGGAATGGTTGTGAAGGTTAGGTATGTATCCAGAGGAATTCAGATGATGTGAGCTGATCTTATTGAAACAGATAAGATACTCCAAATATGGGGTCTCCTTTTAAGAAGGAGATAGAGGAGCATTTCCATTTCTAAGAAGTTTGTTGATTGTTAGAATTCACCATCCCAGGGAATACTGAAGGAAGTCAGACCTTGCTGTAATGTCTCATCTGAAAAACTGTACATTGAACTTTGCAGCTTCCATCAGTTCTGTGCTAAAATGTGAGCCTAGGTTACACAAAGTTTCTTGGATGTGACAAAACCCTTTACATTGATTTGAAAATCATGTTTTGGATATTTTTAACCCATTGATGCCACTTTTATTCTTCTAGCTGGAGTGATCTTATGGATCAGTCACTTTGTTATGTTGGGATTGCTTTTCATATGTGATGCATTTCAGGTGGGTGCAGCAATCAACGGGAACACATAATGTACCTGTAAAAGACAGGAACTGGTTTCGTGCTTGGGCATTTAGTTCAGACAAGCAACTGTCTATGTATCTACACTCTATGTGTTCAGTTCCTTCCAGTTCTTCTTTTGACCAAGGTTTTGTGCATTCCTCCTAATAGGCCGTCATTTGGCTTGGAGTCGATTTTAGTTGATGAGCTATCATAGGTGGAATATCTTAAGTAACTTTCTAAAGTCAGCCATGTAAATTAAAGTAGTTACTGGTTATCATTGTATATTTTTGAAGAATTTCCTTTTAACTATCACAATTTTTTCAACTTTATTGATCTCATCTGTAAAATAGTATTGTACAATTGTGATTGTGCCATGTTGCATATGTTATGATGGCAAAAAGAATACTTCCTTTTCTTCCCCTCCCACCCATCTGCAAAAGAAAACAAACCTCTGACATGGCATTTTCTCCCATAGAGAGGGATTACACCAGAAAAATAATCCCTGTGAGAATTGTCATGCTTATTTAAAAATATAAGGTCACTGTGCTATTTGCTGTAATATTTTTCTTGATATTTTGCATCTAATAGCATATTTCACATAAATCTATATTATTGATTACGATTATGAAAATTGTGGAACTATCCGAGGTTGCCTGGGGCATTCGTCTGAAGTGATTTTTTTTCTTATTTGTAGAAAACGAGGTATCGAATTGCCGGCAGACTCGGTAGAAGGGCTTATGGAATACATTGGATATGATGAACCCCGCAACCTCACTCAATTTCTTGAAATATTTAGCTACTACATGCCAGCTATTGCGTAAGTGAAGACAACATCTTAATATTGCAGTTGTTTTCATGAAATCCAGGATTTGCTTTTACTTTTGACTATCTAAGTCCATAAGGCAAATAGTGGGTTTAATCTGAGCAATGTGCCATGATATGTAACAAAAGAATACTGCAAATGTCGCTTTCAGTTGCATGTTACCAATAAAACAGTGAAACATCACAAGATGTTTTTAATTAAGGAAATTGAGGCCCCATTTCTAGCTTCAGGTTGGCAAACTGTCCTATTCTCCACAATGAGTCTGGGATACTTTAACACACAGAATCATATTTGGACCCTGTAAATATTCAGTTTCATGTCTCCTAGCAGGTGGAAATGGGATAAGAAGCCTAATTGTTATTCCTGTGAAGGCCTTTGGGTAAAATTGCCTTGGGGCACCAATGATGGCATTGGAGCCTGATCTGAAAAAATTACAGAAAGCCACACTGCCTTCCACCTGGAGTATTGCTCATCTACTCAGGGACAGGTTCTTATCCAAATTCATGAAAAGGCCGTCAAGAAATTGTCCAGCTATTTTAGTTGCATGTCCAGTTGAGTAATCTGAAAGGAGTGAGAGGGAGGTGACTGAATATTTGCTGGCAAAGGTTGACTTTGAAAGCAGAGAGAAAGGTGACAGTGTGGAAAACATTAGAAAAAGTTCTAGGACAAAAATGAAGTGGGTAAATGTTCACCCTTGGTGATAATGCAAAAAATACACAGTGCACTAGAACCAGACGAGTAGATGTTAGGTGTTAGTCTGGAGATGATTCCAGAAGTAGGTTTGGCAAGGACATAGAAGACTTAAATGCCAAAAAAACAACAGTATCAGAGGATGGAGTTTTGTGAAGTGAATGAGAGATCACAGGTGGGGTTGCACTTATGGTGGAGAGAAGAAAGAGAAGTAAAGCCTAGAGATGACAGAGTTTTAGTGCTTGAAATGCAACAGCTGTTTAGTCATCTAATAATCAAGAGAACCAGTAACAAGCCTGGCAATACACCATGTGAGAAATGTGAAGCTTCACTCCAGTCCAAGCAACACTCGCAGCTCTACCCTTGAAATTGTATCTGGGAAGGCAAATGAAATTGTGACTTCAGGTACAAAGTGCACCACAAGGGTTGGAAAGGAATATTTTTATGTCTCTGATATAAAGAAAGAAAAATTTGGACAATGATTTGAAATTGGGCATCAGATCCCAAGTAATGGAACAGAAGTTGGTGGCAGTACCCTTGTGTAACAGATGGGATCCTAGGATGATGCACAACAGAAGTTACTGTGTGGACTTCAGCAAAGTAGCTAATGCAGAAATCTCTCCTTAGATATGTAGAAATGGAACCATGACAGATTGCACTGGAGAGGGGAAGGAAGAGGATGGGGGTTGTGAGAAGGCTGTTGACTATGCATGAAGCTGTTCATAGGGTGTCATAGAATCACTGAACCCCTACAGTGCAGAAAGAGGCCATTCAGCCCATCGAGACTGTACCAGCAACCCACTCCCCATCCCATCCATGTAACCCTGCATGGGGTTTTTACCTTGGCTAAACCACCTAACCTGCACATCTTTGGACCACCTGGAGGAAACCCATGCAAACAGGGGGAAAATGTGCAAACTCCACGCAGTCACTCGAGGCTGGAATTGAGCCCAGGTCCCTGGCACTGTGAGCAGTCGCCCATGTCATTGGTGACTTTCAGAGTTCTTTGAAACTATGAGCAGGGTAAAAATAAAATTTATGGCCATTAAAACAATGATTTAAGAGAAGATATTTGCAATGTTGGGCAGCAATGATTTATTTGAGGACTTTGGAGCCTGGAAAAGAATTAAAATTTTGCCAAGAGTGTTGATGTCCTGGTTGGGACTTTTAAGGACTAACCAGATGATACAGAGCAAAACCTAATTGTGGCAGCAAATGGAGAGAGGAAAACTTAGTTGCATTGAAAACAGTAACTTGAATGAATCAACTAAATATTGAAAGAAATGTTTGAAAGATTTTAAACACTTCGTGCAGATTCAAGAGGATATTAAATCTAAACATTATCTTTTACAGTTTTTCTTGCATGCGTTGTTGCTTTATACTTTCAGACAGTCATTAAATGACATGTATGAAGAAACCTGGTATCTTCCCCCTTAAACAGTTACAGTGTATTTTCTATTTCTCAGTAATTTGCTGGTATTGCTCTTGAACTAGAGGCAGTGTCATGTATCCTTAAATGTATTTTCACTATTTTATCCTTTCACTGGCATCACATTATCTTTTATGTTCGCAAAATATATTGTACATAATATAACAAATAATATTTGAAACAACACAATTAAATTGTGCTGAAAAGCTATCATTTCAAAATGTCAAGATTTGGAATTGAGTTTTGAGTTCTTTCATTTGAATTACTGCCTTGTAATTATCAGTTCACCAATATCTATGCAGGTTGCAATTGAAATTTGCATCCATGCAGATGCCTGTATACTTCTCTGTATGTGAACTCTATTAAAGTAACTGTACTTTGTTAATTAAAAGCACTTGGCACTTTTTCCATTTCATTACCAACATGAGACTGCTCGAAGTTTAATAATCAAAGTTTGTAAAATAGAAAATCAAATGCTGAATGTTATCGTATGTTTCGTTTTGATAACCAGTTTCATGCTGCATTAATTGACATAAAATGGAAATTGAAAAGTAAAGGTCAATGGGGAGACAAAATCAGTGGTAGATTCTATACAAGTGTAAATTATTTTCTTTTATTTCTTCAGCATATCCAAATATGGACAATGTGCAAATAGCCAGGTCCTACAAACCCCAAGGGTTGAATCCTATAGAGAACAAACACAGACAGTGCTGGAGGAACTCAGTAGGTCTGGCAGCTTGTCAGGAGAGAGAAACAGAGTTAACATGTTGAGTCTGCTATGACCTTTTTCAGAACAGGTTTGCTTTAAATATTGTAGGGGCCTGAATGACATGGACTATGGCAAGAAATCTGGTAAAATTGCCTGAGAAGTCCCGTGAAGCTTTCCTCGACATCGGGAGCAACCTGTTGCACTTCTTGACTGAGTTCTGGATTTTGAGAAGAGATTCTTGCCAGGCAGTGAGAAGTTTCCTATTAAGGGGACTATTGCTAGTTAACAACCTCGTTAACTGCAAGACTTGCTTCATTAATACAGCTTTCTATCTTGCCATCCGTTGTGAATAAACTGGACTTGACATTTCTAGACATGGAAGTCAGAGTGGGTATCTGGCAACTCCAGCTCATTGCTTGTACCAAAAGACATATTGCACCAAAATGCTGAACAGCAGGCACCCGTATCTCAAGGCATGCTCCATGGGTACCCGAAGTCTAAGCACATTGGCATCTGACATGTGCTGGCCTCTAACAATTCTCATGGCTTTCTCTGATCCGTTTACAGTATACTTCTGCACTTAAATGCTGCATCTGCCACTATAATGCTGCTGCAAGGAAAATGCGATCAGGGACATGCACCCAGCTCATGGACTGGACTAGGCTGCATCTCCAGTCTGTTTGCTTGCTCTCTTTGCACTCCCTCTCTTTGAGCTGACATGGATATTCACAGGACCCCAGCCTTGCCTTTTTACACCTTGGCCTTCTGCTGGAGACAACAGTTTCAGAGTATTGCTATATTGCCATGCCATTTAGCACAGGCACAAAGCCAGAAAGCTTGCTGAGGTTATCAGCAGCCAATAATCAAGTAAGTCAAGGGCAGCTTCTGATACCAGTCCAGGGGATTGGACACGGTCAGTCTGCTGCTTGGGTAGTCACATTTAGAATGCTGTTCTCATATCGGGTGAGGATCCAAATGTCATGCACCCCACTAACCATCATGTCCAGGATAAGCGTCAGGAGCCATGCAAAGCAGCCACAGACTGACACTACTTGTCTGGGTTCATAATTGATTTATAAAGACTGCACCGACACCAGTGCTGCCGGTCCATTCTGTGATATATGGCAGTTGTTTCAGGAACAGCAGTCAGTAGAACGGAGCTAGAATCAGACAAGATTCTTGAGGTGGATTAAATTGTTAGGCTGCTGGTTTAGTGAGATTCAGTGAGAAAAATCACTAGCCTCCATGAAGCTGACAGCCAAAAAAAGAGATTTAGCACCAAGTGAAATAATTGATCTGTGGGTGTGTAAAACTATAAAAAGTATTGGAAACAATTGAACCTTCTAAAGGAAAAGTAGACTTGTATTTGTACAGTGCATGACCGTATGACAGATACTTTAATTGGTCTCATGTAGAATTATTCTGAAGTAAAGGGATTGGTTAGTTTGCATTCAACAACATGTTGCAAGTACTGATTGGATAATCATGGGATCTGTTTTTGGTTATTGTGTTTTGAAGGAAGAAATTAGCAACTATCTGTCTCTCAGAAGCAACATGGAATCTTGAATGGCGGTCAACAGGTGGATATTGAACAATTAATCAAACACAGCCTTCTGGTTTAAATCCTTGGCTCCTACAATGAAACGCTGTATCTGCTGGAGAGCCAAGATTCTACCATTGGAACCAAACTAACATTCTGTGCCAGTTGTCCAGCAATCGGCAACGGTGTGCAGCTTTCGAAGGAAGGCTATATGATTTTGTTGTGATTGGAAATTGTGTCTAATTGGCAGTGAGATAACATCATTGGAAAGAATACAGCATATGGTAGTATTTATAGCAAGTGTAAAATTAAAGATTGTTTTTATCACTGAAGTATCATTAGGTTTTGTTGCTGAAGCAATATTCTGTTCCTGATTGCATAAGTTTAAATGCATTCAAATCCCACAGCCAAGTCCATCTAGGTCATTCTCTCACTGTTCAGGAATTGAGCTGACAAATTAACAGGCATTAACAGGCATAACTGATTTCTTAACCAATGTTGACACAAGTGAACGACTCTGAGCCATTCTGAGTAGGAACGAAGAAACAAAAGCGAAAAAAAAACTGGGCATGTGAATTCAAGTGTGCACTTTTATGATTTTATTGAAATAACATGGTCAGCTGTTTTTGTGTTAACAATGAAGACACTCTTGCACTAATATTGTTGTACTTAAATAAAATATGTTCACGGCTTGTAGTTTCATAAAAGGTTCTAGTGTACCCCATGTATATGCTGAAAAAAAATGAAATCTTGCAGCATCTCCTTTTGCTCCCAAGTTAATTTACTATTTTCATGTCTGTGGAACAGATACCATAAAAGCAGCTCTGAGTGTAGTAAGGCATACAGCTGCATTACATGTTCAATGGCTGAGAGGTTCATTTGAAGTGCTCCCTGTCCCCTGTGACAGAGAAACTTGCTTCAGGGCTCAGCCTCACAGGCTCAGTGTCAATAATTGTGCTGCATAAACTCACAGAATTGTTACAGTGAAGAAGAAGGACATTCAGCCAATCGTGTCTGTACTCAGCTGGCATATCTGCATTCCATCACTTAGTACTTCAGTCTGTTGCTGTATTGGTGTATCACATACAAGCCAACCATTTCAGGCTGTTTTTTTGATAAACAGAACTTTGCTTTCCCTTTCACTTGAAGTTGTTAGGATTTGTTTAAATGGATGCTGGCTGCACTCAAATATGTAGCTCGACTGTTAATTCTTCATTTTGAGTTGGTGTGGAAAGGTTTTTCAGCCATTGGAGGATCTTGCACACTTCTGTCTTCAGATCACTGCATGTCAATCAGAGAGTGATTACCCGGGCTGATTTTATTTGCTGATTTTTTTGCTTTGGTGGCTTTGTGGGGGGTGAAAATAATGAAAGGATGCTGCGGTCAATTGTACAGTATCTATTACAGTTCTTGTTGAGCTCAGCGGATTCACCAAAGTTTACATCTGGGATCCCCTGGTCTGGTTTGTTCCAGTCACATTGCTTATTGCTTCATGATAATGAGTGTTGACAAAAAGGTCAGAACTGAAGGTATTTGCATTAGGATCGCTTGCTTATAACATTGGGTGAAGATTACATTCTTCAAGTTCAATTATATATTTATAACGGATACAAAGTATGCTTTTTGTGTTCTGCATTTAATTTAAAGATTTCAAAATTCAGTGTCATTTTATTTCCCAGTCGCAGTTAACTTTGGACACTGGAGTTCAATCATAATGTTGCCAAGAAATTCATATTCCTACTCATGTTACACAATATGACCTTTCAGCGCTAAATATACTCTTTGATGCTAATAACTGTCTAATAGCTCAGAGGTAAAGTCTCCAGTTCAAATGTCCTAAGACCTTGTGCCTCGTGCTCAGCTGGTATATAATCAGATATTTATGATTTTTTCTGTTGATTGATTTTGATTTAAATTGTCTATAGAGCTGTAGTTTTCTGATAAGACATCAGTTGTATGCCCTGCTGGTGGCACATACAATGGATTGTGTCCTTCATCTATGCGCTTCAGAAGAGGAGTCTTTGACTTTCTCCCTTGGATTTGCTGTGCTGACCTTGGCAAGACAGTAGAAAAATGCAGTAGGATGAGAAAATAAGCCAACGTACCTTTTCCTAAATGCAATTTTGTGAGTGCCGCTGGAGAATATTGTGTGCAGACACCAACTAAAGACAAAATTGGGCACATTTGAATTACCATCATGATTGATTTACATGAAGGCATTTACTATTGAGGGCCAGCTAACTAATGACCAATTGATAGGCTGTTGTATGTGGAACTGCATCAGTAAGGTTTTGAGGGATGTGAATTGGTAAGGTAAAATGTACTCCAATTTATGATAATTCTGGCATTAGTGCTCCCAGTGAGACTCTAAGTCGGTGCGAGAATCACAGCATTTTCACACGCTCCTCCTCGCGCCACCCCCCCCCCCCCCCCCCCCCCACCCCCACCCCAGGGTGTTTGGGCCTAGACAGCCCAGGCTCCTGAGCGTGTTTTGAATAAATTTAGGCTCACTCCCCTCGGCTTGCACTTCTGCAGGCTTTGGCATCACAGCCGGGGAGGGTGGACGAACCTGGCTTCTCTGGACTGTCCTGAGTAACAGTTTCAAGGATCCTGTGTGTGTGGCTTCTTCTCCGTTTAGGAGCTTGTTGGCACCACTCTGTCTGCCTGGGAGGAAGGGATACTTGGCTTGAGGTGAGGTCCCTCACCCCTCTCTCACTTTGCCATTGATGCTGAACACCTCTGGCAACAATGATAGAACGCAGGTCTGTGTTCATAACCAGCAGACACTGAGTGTGCTGGAGCTAAGTCTCCATGGCAGTCACCAATGCATCCATGGAGACAGCTGAACTCACGCATGTTGGAGCCAGCACTGTATTGATAACATTGGTGGACTTCTATATCCTCTGATCGAGTTTAGCGACTGTGTCTAACAAACCTGCCTGTTATTGTGTCTGGTTGTGTGTTTTAATGGTCATTAATGGCTGAGGCCGTGGGAATACCTTCTGCTTGAGGCTGAGTACTTGCTTGGTGTCCAGCAGTCTTCTGACTGCCAGTGACCCGCAATGTTTCTTGCCCAACCTGCTGTGGAAATGTTTCAGTGGCGTGCTCACCATATTGTGTTCTCAAGTTTAATCTAGATAGAGAACAGTCTGAAGTGAAAGTCTCTGAGCAGGTGAGGGTGCAGGTGAAAGCTTTACCTCTGCATCCTGAGGGTTCATTGGTTTCTTTCTCAGAAGTGAGTGTGTTGCTGAGGGCCTCCTATGATGGCCTCTTCGAGGCAGAGTTTCACCTGAATAAGAGAAGAGAGAAACTTTGTGCAGAGTAAGAATGAGTTCACATGGTCATGTTGGGAGATCATCGCACAGCACCATGAAGCCTACTGAGTTGGTTGGTGATGGATTTCTCCCCATCCCCACATGAGCTGTGATGTTCTATGACCAAAGTGAGGTGTTTCTCCTTGAAAAGAGAGAGGAGTGTTATGTCCACCAGTACCCCGTCCCCCAGTAGTCCTAGCCCTCTCAGCCCAGTTGAATACCGTCTTAAATACACTGCGACAAAGATTGAACATAATGGAATCGGATGTAAGAGCAGTTAATAATGATGCATGAGCAGTTGAGGTGCTGAGGTGTACCCTGCAAATGAGTAGAAAGTGCAGTGTGTAGAAAGGGTTTAGAGTTTGGGAAGATGAGGTGTTTGAAAGTCACTGAGTGGACATGATTTGTGCAACAGTGAGAGTTGTCATCTATGATGAAATGTGTGTGCAGTGGAGAGTTTGAGTGGTGACCCTGTGAATGTGAGGTAGCAGGGAGAAGATGGTGGCATGTACCTTTGCAGACGACAGAGGATCAGTAACCTTCTTCCTACAGTGCTGTGCATTTTGTTTACCCTGGGACTCAGCATTGACCTGGCCACTTACTGTGCTTAAGCATGATCAGATTGGAGAGTGGCTTTCTGACAGCATGTGGTAAGATCAGATTTAAACTCAGGTGAATGAATAAAAGCAGGCTTTATGGAATATAAACTATATACAGGGAATGCTACGAGTGGACATCTATGGAACTCAACAAATTCAGGTCCTAATTTCTTATAATCTGCCCATCGCTATGACAAGCTATTCTTAAAGGAAAGATATAGTTAACCCCTTATTCTACTCTCTTGTGCTGTTACCATTCAATGATTCTATGAGCTGTGAATGGCACATGTCAGCATGTGTGATTTCCTGCAACAGGACAGTCTTTAAGCTGACTGTTTTTGAGTTTCTGATTTGTAGAGAAGTGGAGCATAATGGTTCCACTCAGTGATTCAGGCTTTTGTCATGAAATGCAATCCAATTGAGAGAAGTGTAAGCTTGCAAACAGAGTTCTTCAATGTTAATAAAAATTTCTATTGGAAACAGATGAACAGATTTATGCTGAATGCAAGTTTGTGATGCTAAATATGCAACTTCTGGCAACATCTTAAAAGATTGTCTATGAAAGCATCTTGGGTGTTGTTCATTATAAACTTGGAACTTCAGTACAGAATGCAGCTAACAATTGCCAGATGTCAATGATTCTAAATGCACAGGCATGCTTATGTTTCTCTATGGCAGCAATTAACCCAGTTTTATCAACATATTGTCTGTCGCCATTAATTGTGGCACGTAGCAAGCATAATATTGTTGTTCATGTAGCAGTGTCCTGGGCACTTACTCTCTCCCATTTCTGTTAGAGAATAATTATTAACATTTGTAGGAGTAGAGAAAATAAAGAAAGTGTAGATCTCATTTTTGATACATTGTTGATCCTAACTCTCTTTTTATCACTTAAATGCATATAAGTGCGAAACAAATGCCCTGGACACTCCTTTATGCATGGAAGAATGTTTTGGATTCATGTGCTAAGCCCGTACAAGACCATGGTTGGTAGTGTTTACTATCTCAAATCTGGTGACATGCATGATTAGCATTATTTTCATTCATTCCTTGTTGTCTGATAGTTTTTCAAAAAATACTCCAGTGAAATCTTACCTATGTGTACTGTTTTGTTTATGCGTTAATGCTTGATGTTCAAGATTTTCGTTAATTTGTCTGAAAATAATCCTTGACTTTTATTTATTTTCTTGTTGCATACAGTGGAGACAGAGATGCTGTGAAAAGAGTAGCCTATGAGCTTGTGGAAATGAAAGCAAAAGAGGGTGTTATATATTTTGAAGCAAGATACTGTCCTCATTTGTTTGCCAATTCCAATGTTATTCCCATTCCTTGGAACCAAAAGCCGTAAGTATTTGATACACATCACCTGAGAAATAATACATTACTTCAAAATTCTATTTTAGTGTTTTGGCAATGTATTTTATATATACTTCTATTTACTGTTCATATATGTTAAAATTTCTTTTCCCCAGTTACTTTTATTGATTAAACTTCAAAGGACTGTTTTATACTGTAACATATCACCAGAAAGTTTAGATTTTTAAAAATTTGTTCCATATTTCCTATGACCTCCTAAAACAAGATGTGACCAGAAGGAAGGTGAGCACCCTTAGTGTTGTTCACAGTGCAGTGTCCTGAACTTAACAGATGAAAGGAGGCGTCTAACCTGAATAGCAGCAAATATCTACTCGAAAGTCTTGTACATTAAATTGTTGCATGTATATAGTATTCTAATTACTGCATTACATTTGAGATGTTAAAATCCTTTTACTACAAGAGTTAATGCAATGATATGCGGCTGACTATGGCTCTGCAGTACAGGATGCCATTCTTGTGAGGGAGTTAATGCAAATGTAGGTAGCAGGGGACATAAAAAAAATCAGAGTGATAGATACAGTTCTTTACAATTAAGAGTGCAAGCATTTGCTCAGCAATAACCTGCTCACTGTGATTTAGTTTGAGTTCTGCCAGGGCTACTCAGCTCCTGACTTGATAGCCTTGTATCAAATGTGAACGAAAGAGCTGAATGCCAGAGGTGATGTAAGAGTGACTGCCCTTGACAGCAAGGCAGCATTTGTCCATATGCAGCATCAAGGAGACTTAGCAAAACGAGAATCAGGGAGAGATCTTTTTGCTGGTTGGAGTCTTACATTGCATAAAGGAAGATGGTTGTGGTTGTTGGAGGTTGATCATCTTAGGCCCTGGAGATCTCTGCAGGAGATCCTCAGGGTACTGTCCTAGGTCCAGTGTCTTCAGCTGCTTCATCAGTGACCTTCCTCCATCATAAGCTCAGAGGTGTGATATTCACTGATGATTGCACAATGTACAGCTATATTTGCCACTCCTTAGATACTCAAGCAGTCCGTGTGCTAATGCAGCAACATTCAGGCTTGGGTTGACAAACGGCAAATAACATTTACACCATACAAGTGCCAGGCAATGACCATTTCCAAGAAGAGAGAATCTATTCATTTCCCCTTGATATTCAATAGCATTTCCATTGCTGAATTCCCACTTTCAACTTGCCATTGACCATAGCCTGAACTGAACCGGCCATATTAATGCTATGGCTACATAGGTGGGTTACAGTCTTAGAGTATTGCAAACAACTTATCTGAATCTCAAAGTCTATCCACTATCTACAATGTGCGATTCAGGAGTGCGATAGAAAATACTCCAGTTGCCTACATAAGCGCAGTTCCACAAACACTCAAGACTGTCAACACCATCCTGGACAAAGCAGCATACTTGATTGGAACCCCATCCACCAACTTTAGTATTCATATCATACACCACTGACAGTAGCAGCATTGGGTACCAACTACAAGATACACTGATAACTCACCAAGCCTCCTTCAGCAGCACCTTCCAAATCTCTGACCTCTACCGCCAAGAAGGACAAGAGCAGCAGATGCGTGAAAATACCACCAACTGCAATTTTCCTTCCAAGCCATGCTCCATTGTGATTTCAAACTATATCGCAATTCCTTCATTATTTTAGAATCAAGATTCCTTTCTAACAGAACTATGTTTGTATCTGTACTCAAAAGACAACAGCAGTTGACAAATTTGGCTCACCACTTTCTCAAGGGTATTTAGAGATGTATATTAACTTGATCAGCAATGCCCACTTCTCATAACTGAATAATAATAAAGTCCTTCAAAACTGGTCACCAGCAATGTAGTAATGTCATTTTCTAAGCCAACCTGTGCAGCGTTAGACTCCAACCAGTTAAATCCAGCTTCACTGAAGATGGGACTAACAGCAGGCTCCAAAAGCAACTGCTTTACTCAGAACTCAGTAGCAGCAGGAACCACACTGGAAATGCTTTCAGAATGTCCTCAAAGCATCTCTGCCACCTCCATTGGTGAGTCTGGCTTATAACCAATTAAATTGGAGAAGCTTATGTAGCAAGGCACTGAACGCATTGACAGGCTTCATTGGAAGCATGCAGATGAGAAGGTAAGGCTTTGGAGGGAGAGCAAAGATCTCCAATCTGCCTACCATTTCAAGCACCACCTGCTCCGTACTGTGTGGCAAATGCTGCAGATGGTCCATTAGAATTATTAGTCTATTTAGGAATTCATCAAATTGGACTAGAAACAAGTCATCCTAGAACCCAAGGGACTACGTAAGAGAGAAACAACATCAGTATCTTTGATCTACTTCCTGCCTTGGCACATAGCTCCAAGCTTCTTAGTGGCCACCCTGTTTACTTTCCCTCTTATGTTTGTTAAATTATACCATTCCTGTGCATACTTTCCTAACCAGCCCACATATTTTTGGTTTTTTTGCGCTTTCTCATTTTGCAATGTCTCAAGTTAAATAAATTGCATCCACAGAGCTTTTATTGTTCATTATTTTCTCAAACAAATTCCTGCTAAGTTGCTGAGCAACATCTATGCAGAGATTCATACTCAGACTCCCTCAGGGCATTCTAGTCTAGGTGTTGAATTTGTTCATCTGTCTCATCTAGTTTAATCATTACTGACAATAAACTCAGTAGCAAACACTTTCTTGGGTCATTCCCGTAATAAGCTTAAATGGTTTTCCTTTTTCTGTTGATTACTTGATTTATCTTGCTGGTTTCAGCTCAGGAAGATTTTTTTTAAAAGGAAACTTGTAATGATCAGTTATTGTGATACATGAGTGCTATGAATCTAGAGAAACTGCAATTTAATATTGCTGCTTTATGCATATGTTATTTGAAAATCTTTGTTTGATGGCATAATCCCATGCGGTGTGCTAAGTATTGTTGATAACAAGTGACAATTTGACTATTACAGCCAGAGTATGTTTTTGAAAAATAGATTAAAATTTATCTCACATAGTTACAAGTGTCAGAATGTATTATTGTACTTGTTCACCATTGCTTAGAAGTTCCTGAAGGTCATACGTTATTCTGTGCAATATAAATTATATCAAACCATCTTGAATAGTGGTATTAACTGAAAGTTGTGTGTGAAATGGAGATATGAGTTAAACCTTTGAGAAAGAGTATGGTCAATGATTAGTCTCTGCTACTTTCATGGACAGCTAAATCACCAGAATTAATATGTGCTGATTTATTGGGTATTGCAGGTATTTGGCCCGTTAATTAGACTGAAGTTGACATGAAATCTGGACTTTCTATTTCTGTGGTAATGTCTAACCACAAGAAGTGAACATTTACTTTCAAAGATCAATTGCTAATCACCATAAATACACTGCTTTTGAAGGAGCCGTGGAGAAGGTGGAAAGGACATTCCTTAGAATGGTACCAGTGATAAGACACTTAGTTACGAAGAAAAACTAGAAAAGCTGGAGTTATTCTCCTTGGCACAGAGATAGTTAAGGGAGATATAGTATGTGTTCAAATGGTGAGGGTTTTTATGAGAGTAGATGACGAGAAACTGTTTCCACTGGCAGAAAGGCTAATAACTGTAGTCTTTACATTGATATAATTGACAAGGTGGGGAATGGGCAAATGTGTTTTTCTTCTTATGTAGTGAATGACACCTGAACTGGAATCTTGCTAAAAAGAGAAACACGTTGCTAGAGCTATTCAGCTTGCACCCATCAGGATATACACAAGAATGCCAAATTCTAAATGATCACATCAATGTAAATTACAGGAGAAAAATTCGCAAGTTGACTCTGATTTGCTGAAGCATTGTCATGGAGAAAGGCCTCCTGAGTTCTCACATAATTAAAAACAAGTATGAGGATTGTACATATTTCTTCTAATTTTGGAAAACTGGTTCCCGTATTTGAATGTATGTTGCTTCTAGCAAGCATAAATGGACCATTTTATGAGTTCAGCTAATTATCCTAATGGTGTCATTTCAATGTGAGAACCTCTGAACTTCCTTGGAATATTTTTCTACATTTAGATGCCACATAAATTGACTCAAAAATCCCTGTAATTAAACAATATACAACACTGACTTCCATCAGATTTGGTTTTGCCTGCTTAATCTCCATGTTATCTAGTGCTGCAAGTTATTGGAAGTTTGAAATGGAAATGATTGTGGTAGAACTTGTGATATTTGAATGAAAGAGCAAACGACTGAGTAATTCCTTAATTCATCAGGTTAAAGGATTGTTAGAAAGCTGAAGTCAACTTCAAAATCAGTAGAGGATGGGAAAGGGGGAGACGTCAGATTGAAACAATAGAGGAAGATTTTGCAGAACAACTAACTTCAAATTTGAAAACAAAAATTCCCAGCAACAAGAAAAAGCTGAAGGATAGATATACCATATAGTAAGGGTTAATTTATCTATCAGAGATTTTTGGGCATTAACATGTATATACCTGAAGACTTGATTGAATTTTCTGTGGTGAGCTTATGTAGTATCAACTGATGCAAATACAGGAATTATGCACTGTTCCCTAAGGCAACCAAACAGTGAAATTTCATTTTTGTAAAGCTAAAAGTAGGTTGGTGAATCTGGGAAAAACATTCTAAACTTCCATGTTTAGACTTGCATCTGCTGTCACTTGAAGTTCGTGTAACATTTGTGCCAAAATAACCATGAGCACTGTTAACCTGACTATTATTTTGAAGTAATTTTTGAATCTGTGCTTGTACTTGAAACCAAAACTTCTGTTTGAGGAACAATCATCTCCCTGCCACTGAAAATGAAGATAATTCTGTCATGGCACGTATATACAGAGTGAAAAACATTCTTCTTCAACTCCTGAGGCTTGCTATTGTTTCCCTAAATTTGGTCAGATAAAGAAGTGGTCCAATTCACAGATGATACAAACCCACTTTATATAAAATGACAGTAATGGTCAATTCAATAAGAAAATGGTTATATGACACTCAAAGCGTAACCTTTCCAATTTCTCTGTGTTTTAGTGTGTTGATGATATGACATTTTGTTTGCTGAGATACTGATGTTTGAAGTAATTTTGCACCTATTCTTTCATAAGGACATTTGTCCAAAAATAAGGACACTTGATTTGCCAGGGCTTCATCTCCGAAGGTCTGTGATATAAGCAGTGGCCAAACTACAATAAATCTAAGTGATATTTGGAGTTTATTAACAGTGATCTCCAGTATCCGATTAAAAACTACATAGTGTAATGCTTCTCAATTCAACTAGAATCATGGAGAAGTAATTGGCAAATATAATTACTTAGCATTATAAAATTAACATTTCTTTTCTCTAGTCTTTTTAAAAATATTTTTCATGGGATGTGTGCATCACTGGCTAGGCCACTATTTTTTGACCATTCCTAACTGTATTCGCATGTACAAAATCTGCGTAATCAAGTTATCTCCTCTTCACTGTGACAACTAGTTATCAAAAGTCTGACCTACTTCTTGTGTTTATGTTCATAATCAGAGGGGACCTGACTCCGGACGAAGTGGTTCATCTTGTCAACCAGGGTTTCCAGGAAGGAGAAAAGCATTTTAAAATCAAAGCAAGATCCATTCTATGCTGCATGCGCCATATGCCAGGTAATATGCTGTGTATATTTTTCTGTATGTTCATTTATAACTGTAATTCTATTTTTCAGATTTTCTCTCTGAAACTTCTTGTAATTTTCTGTGATATTTCTCTGTCACTGCTCAATTTTCTGCTTATATTAAGCTGTAATTCAGTTCTCCTATCTGAGCCTAGACAATGAACAACACCAATGCTGTGAAGATGTTTCCCCTCATGGGGGGAGTCCAGAACTGTGGGTATGTGCGGACTACCTCTGCCTTAAAAATATTCACGCACTCTACTTCCACTACATTTTCAGGAAGCGAGTTCCAAAGGATCATGACCTTCTGAGAGAAAATAAAATACCTAATGTTGGTTTTAAATGGGTAACCCCTCATTTATAAGCAATGTCCGTAATTCTAGATTCTCCCATAAGAGGAAACATTCTGTAAGTCTGCCCTGTGAAGACACCTCAAATTTTTATACCTTCCAATCAAGTCACCTTTTACTCTTCTGTGTGACTTCACGTGTAATCAAATGTGGATTTGAAGAAGGGTTACCAGACCCGAAACATTAACTCTGATTTTTTTCTTCACAGATGCAGCCAGACTTGCTGGGCTTTTCCAGCAATTTGTTTTTGTTGTTGTTGTGGATTTTCAAAGGTTGGAGTCTGATTTGTGCCACTCTTGCTATTTTGTAGAAAAGTGGTGTTTCTTTTATCTGGCTCACATTAAAATGCATACTATGGTGCAAACTCGCTGTTTTTAGAAGAAGATGTAAAGTAAAGTAACCCCAGTTAATTCTTAATCTAGAGTGGACTTGTTGGGTCGAAGGGCCTGTTTCCACACTGTAGGGTTTCTATGATTCTAAACACCCATTTTCAACTCCCTCATTTTACCTGACTCTGTCCTGTCTCAACTCATCTACTGCTGAATTCCACACAATGTCTTTGTTATGTTTAGAATTGAGTATTCCAATGCACTGCTAGCCTTCTATATCAGCCATTGACGTGAACTCAACCAAAGCTCACCTTATCTCATGCCACCCTGTTCAGCCATAAGCCTACATTTCTTAACCTACATTGTCTCCCAGTTAAGCAATTTTCATCTTTAATTTTTCCATTCCTCCATAGCCCTGCCCCTCCCTACCTCTTATATTCTCCAATCCCAGAATCCTCTGAGATATGCCTTTTTTCTACTTCTGATCTCTTACGCATTCTGTAGGTGAACATAGCTTCAACTGCCTGACAAATCTTCCAGATCTGTACCTAATCTTCCATACCTGTATCTCTTTTCTTCTTTGAGATACTGATTCTTTTTCCTTGAAAACATTTTTGATCATCTGCCCCCCAATATGAGCACTATGGCTGAGTGTCAAATTTTATTTTATAATGCTCCTGTGAAGTGACTTGGGTGTTTTATTCAACCAAACGTGTGATAGAAATGTAAGCAGTTCTTGTTTGATGAAAGCAAAGCTAGAGAGTTCTGCTTAATAAATCAGCGTGATAGTTTATTATTGAGGTGTAAATAATGAGTTGTAGCAGCACCTCATTGACGAATACAATGATAATAAGATGGTATTAATATATTTTCAGAATGGTCTGCTGAAATTGTGAGCCTGTGTAAGAAATATCGCAATGAAGGTGTTGTGGGTATGGACTTGGCAGGTGATGAGTCTTTAAACTGTAAAATCAACTCAGGCCATTGCAATGCCTATGAGGTAGGTAGTTATCCATAACATGGTGAATTTAACTTAATAGGAATATTGAATTGCAGTTAAATTACAAAAAAAAAAGAGATGGATTCCACTTTACCTTCTAGGAACATGAAATTCCAAAAAGTAGTCATACTTATAGGGCACATTTTGTGAATCTCTTACTGCACTTCATCAGAATACACTCTCCTAGGATGTGTACAGGATCTCTCTAATCTAGCATCATCAGGTTTTCCTAATCGGTGGATCATAAGTAGAATCCTTGGGAGCATGATATAAATGTTTCTATGGAAATTTTGGTCACCTAATCTGCAGAACCCATGAGAAGGTTCTGTGCATCTTTAAACCAGTGGTTTGGGTATATATTTGTGTTACAGTTGCATCACATACTCACTCAAGCTTCATAAAGAATGTTTTACAGATAGAATATCCTCCCATGTGTGGGAGACTTGGTGAATTCATTGGCTGTTGCCCATGACTGTGCACGATAGACTGCTCAAATGGTAACTTCATTAAGATTGTGTTTCACATTTACTTTAATATTCCTTTTGAATATTGATATTTTATTGCCCTTGAAGTAATTTTCACTCAGTATTTACAATAAATATTGTAATCTCATAGAAATGTTATTTTGTACATCACCTATCACAATAGTAACATTTTCTGGCTAAGTAACATGCCATGAATATAAAATCATAATGAGTAAACTGTTTTATCTAAATCCCTCTATAAGTTGCTCTGCATTTGAGTATGCATTTATAAAAGAGAAAATAGTCTATTGTATAAGTGATAGGATGCCTATTATTTACTCATCAAAGTGGTACAATTTGATAGACCAGAGCTTTAATAATAATTTCCTGTCTTATATGAATTTCTGTGTTTTATTTAAATATACATTGTGATGAATTCCTTTTTGTTGTACATGTTCTGATGGTGTAGGAGAAAACACTGAGAATATTGTAATGTTCGGGAATAGATCATTTCAAGGAATTGCTAAATTTGACAGTCCCAAAATATTAGTTACGTTCAATACTGACTAGGGCTCCTGCTTAATAGGTCACTCAAAACAATTTAGAAGTCCCTGAAGAGCAAATTCAGAATTATGGTTGTGAGACCTGAGAAGAGGCTGTGTGCCACTAATCATTCAGTAGTGAGTGCCATCAGTCAACTCTTAATCATGAGCAAATGATTTAAGGTGTTGTCAACAGTGCTGTCAAGTGACACTTACACAAGCAATAACATGCTCACTGATTGACCTCATTACATCTTGGCACAGACATGAGCAAAAGATCTGGACTTGAGAGGTGAGCAGGAGGTTGTATGAATGGCTATTTTCAGATCTAAGCTGCTAACAAATCTTTTTGAGCTTTTTGAAAGTAGACTGTATCCATGCTACTCAATTTATATCACTTACAGGTATCACAAGAAGACTTAACACATCCCATTTAGTTGCCTAAACATTTGTTGTACTAACATAACAAGGTGTAGAGCTGGATGAACACGGCAGGCCA